TATTTATTTTTCCTGAATGCCAATATAAAATGGTTGAATCACACATAACCGGTGACAGAGGAAATGTATGATCAATGCAAGTAAGGAACACTTGAAATATAATTGGGGCAGCAAAAATGGGGAACATCTAGTGTGATGGCATCTTGAAAGTAAACTGTACTGAAACATAAACTAGTCACTCTAACCCAATTTCAGTCAGTTTTGCATATGCTGTGTCAGATGTTGATGCATACAAGCAAAACCAGCCCCACCTTTTTACCAAATCCAATGAAGCTTCATGAAGCCTTGTTGGACCAGTTTAATAAACTTTTTGTAGAGTTGTTTTACTGAAGTCATTTTAGCCTTTACGTTTGCCAAATACAAATATTCACATTGCTTTCTCGATGTGATTGCAACCTTAGTTTTACAGCCAGTCTGTTTACATCTTTGTTTTGTGAAGTCACCTTCTTTCACCACGACACCACGTGTGAGGTGAATATGGCACAGTATCATTGTGGCACAGAAATAGCTAATTCCCAGCCTCAAGGCTCTGTCCCACTTCATGGCGAGGTCAGCTGGCGGTCAGTAAGGATGAGCAGCACAGCACAAAATCCTGTTTTGAAATTGCATTCTTTGTTTGTCAGCAGACAGCTACACAATGACAGATTCTGTGCCGGAGAATCGACTTGAGTTTCAGGCGCGGGGAGGCTTGTCCTGTCAGCGTATGAAAAATGGTCATGGACAGAAGAGCAGCCGCTGATTGCAGAATAACCTCGTAGTGACAATAAAATAGTGTTTATAACGATATCAAGACAAATTGCTCCTACTTTACCCAGAACATTTAAAGGACATGAATGCTTGACACGCTAAAGAAACCCAAAAGAACACCACTCCAGGAGGTGAAGACAAAACTCCAAGAACGACAAGCGTTGGTCCTCTTCCAACTGAGGTTTCTCCACGGTGGGGGGCATTCATCATCATTATCATGGCCATTCACTTGTGCTAATTCTCTTTCAAATCAACTGTCAATTCTCATTTGGTCGCCTTCAGCATCTTAGAAGCTTTAAAATCTCCCATGAAGTGGATAAGAAAACAGCAGCCAACCAGGGCCGCATTCTTGTTCATTTGAAACCCTTTTTGGGAGGCTTCCATGAGTTTTCCAAACCCAAATGAGCGATTGCAGGCGCTAAAAGAGTCTTAATTGTGCAGCCATGACTAATGAAAGTGAACACCGTCAAAAACAGGAGAAACTAAGTCTGGGCGCCGGAACCCACACACAGATGAAACGCCCAGAAAACAACAAGAAAGCTATAGACCGGTTGCAACTCCACTGGAAATTTTGCAAATCAAAGTTCCTGCACAAGCTCTGCCCCCAGAGCTTTTTAAAAGTTACTTTAACAGTAAGCAGTTAATTAGGAGATGAGGAAAACAACCCTGAACTTGAATTGACCCTAATCTTTTGGGATATCTTGAATTATTAACAGTAAAAAACATCTAAGAGTAGGGTAATATCCTAATAACAGAAGTTGCAAAGGAATTTCTTGATGAAACAAAAACGTATCCTGTAATTAAAGTTACGCAATACATTCAACCGGTCCTTCATTTCCACTAGGCCTTAATACAACCGGTCAAGGGCAGTGGCCTTTACTCGCTACGGTCCAGGACACAGCAGTTGTTGATGCTCTAGGACGGTCATGACATTCACTGGAATATTTTACCTATGATGCATGTTTTGCATGTTTTGGGTGGTGGGGGAAAACTGTAACACCTGGAGAAAACCCACCCGGACATGTCACTACATCCTTTATAAATAGAACTGAATGAGCGGCAGAAGAATGAAAGACAGATTACATGAATGAGCATAGAAGGCGGTTAGGAGAGTGCCATCTCACAGCTGTTCGGAACTGGGCAGGGTCCTGTAAACTATATTCAGACAGACTATTTGCATTCATAAGCTAAATTTCTTAGCTTATTGCAATCACCAATTGTGCATTGATAGATAATGTAAGTAATATTTGAGGGAAGACTGAAACATGAACTGTAATCACAACACAAAAAAAGAGAATGATTAAAACAAAGTGTCCCTAATTAAGAAGTGTCCATCCTGATTTGACAATATGTTATATATTTCTTATTTATTTACAATGCTACTGCAGTTGAAATTCAATACGAATTGGCAAATCTATATTTCAAAATTGTGAAAAAAAACACTCAAGTCTAATAAAATCCACAAATATCAAATCCATCAAAACCATCTCTATAAAGTTCCTCTTAGCAGTTCTTAACTTTGTATTTATCAACGAGTAAAGTGAGACCAAACTATGTGACTTTGTAAAGGACAATGTCAGATAAACAATTACAGTCTTTGCAAATTGATATTTGAATGTGATATTTGAACTATTGAAACTGAGATTTTGCATTGATAGCGATAGTAATATATACTGTATGTATTTCCAGCCCTTGTTGTATCTATGGCCTGTGTACGTTGGCAAACACACATCACCAGCTGGAAGCTCCTTTGCTGATGGAACTGGGAACTGATGGAAGGGCGTGGAAATATGACACCGGTCGACGGGATAAACGCTGATAAATTTAGATGTCCGAGCGGCGAACGGAGCAGAGGATGACATGTACAGCCCGTGATTATTCGAGGTCGGCTTAACCTAACGAGGTGACACATCTGTTCTCTGAATGAGTTTGAATGTCAGAGATTTGAAAGAGGATCACGCGGCTTTGACTGTCAACTGGAAATCTAGATAATCTGAGGAATCCAAACAATAAAAGCAAAGTCAAACACAGAGCCTAATCCAGCAAAGAGAGCAGTAATCGCAGCTCCTAGTTTAGCCACTGTCTGAAATCCTGTCATGTAAAGTTCTATCTACATACGGTGTCTGATTTATTAATGATTTTCAGACTTGAGAAGAAAGATTGTCAAAGCTGCAAGAGGCTGATTTCACCTCTAAGTATTTGTAGTGGAATCATCCTCTTGCCAAACAAGAAGAAGGCCTTGTTTGATTAAATTATGTTTACATTAGTTTCATTCTTGAACCTCAACTATAAGAACATTTCTATTGTTCACCAAGTTTTTGACACTAGATCCCAAAAAAAGACAGTTCTTTCACTTAATCCAAGACCCTCAATCAAGGCATTTACCGGACGGGCATGTTTTACCACAGCACTTTAAATACAATATGTTTTTTGATGTTGCATGACACTGTTTTTAATGCACTGCACAATGTAGTTTAGGTAGAAATGGTAAGAACAAAAAGATCCTAGAACATCAACTTTTGTGCCTTTAAAATAGCTATTTATGGTAATGAGTGTCAATTATAATTACGATAAATATCTAATGTTTATGTAAGTTCTGATTGTAAATATAATTGAATCATTTGAAAGAAAATGTAAAAAGGGGTAGGAAACATCTACCAACTCCTTTTTGAAATGTGCATAATTTTATTTTCTATTGTATTGTACAATAAATAATTCATTCGAAATAAAGACTACAATAACTCGACTCATCCACCTCTTATGTTTATAAAAAACCAGAATATTAATCATGTACAATTCACCTTCAGGCCCAAATTAATTAAAATGTGTGATGTTTAGATAATCCTTGTGCCCCGAAGTCAGAAACGCTACATTAAAGGAAGATGTTGAGACTTGTGGTGGTGGTGGGAGGTTACGACAAATTGTGAAATGATAGAAAACACAGCTCATGTTCAAGTAACAAGGTTATACGTCTAAGTTTTCACAAGACCCACGTCCATTGTCCAAAAGAGCTTAAAGCGCTTAACAACTGGTGGCTGTCAGTTTTTGGTTACAGAGGTCTCGTTCCAGTCAGATGCAAAGCCAGAAACACAGCTAATATTGGGCCAAATAGCAAAATGCATGCAATTGATACAAATACATGTTAGCATGGTCTTCCAACAAAATAGATGTTGAATTCAAATGAAATACAAATCACTTAAATTCAACTAGAATTTCAATGACTAATGCAGAACCAGCATATTAAGCCATGCAATAAGAAACATTGTGCAAAGTCTAGTGGAATTCTAGCTTTCCTGCCACATGGACCAGGATAAACTGGAAAATGCAGTTGCTTTGAACGTCACCTCACGCTTCCTGTTTCACAGATGCCCTTTGAAATGATTTTGTGTTTAGGCTGATATGGAAAAAGGAGCACTCTATTCCCCAATTACAATTTATGAAAATGCTTTTGTTATTGGAGACTTACAATCGGGACTAAAAAAAAATGTTATCACATAAGAACAAAGCCCGGTTTAATGTTTCATAGTCATCAATCAACTCATTATTCACAAGATCATGACAAAAGCACACACAAAAGAAAAATACAACGTGTGAGACAACTGACAGAATGGAATATGAGAATGAATAAAACATGTTTGACCTTAGTGCTCAACAATTAGGTATGCGCCAAGGGCAATGCTCGAGCTACACACGCCAGAAGATACCAGCAGATACCAGCAAGTACCAGAACAGAGAGAAAAAAATGCTTTCAATATTTGATAAAAATCATTGGTGAACTGACACATTACTATAACATTTGCTACATATAGAACTACTATCATATCAATGTTGTGTATCTCAGTGCGTGGACAGAGTGCGTGTGTGAGCCAAATTACCTAAACACATGACTGCTGTATCCTAAAGAAAAGGTACTATAAAGTTTGAATGTAATTATAAAGAGTTTTGTGAAATATGGAATATAATGAAGGATGACAGTCATTTGGTGTGGGTTAAAAACCAGGGTTAAAGACCAGAACCAAACCTAATGTTTTTTCAAGACAAAAAATTCGTCAGGGTCTGTTTCAAAATATGTAAACAAACTGTGTAAACTAACTAGCTTCAATGACTAGAGGACTGAAGTGTTTGGTGGTTATACATCCACAACTAAAGCCTTTCATCATCAAGAAAGTGAAGTACCAACAAGTGAAAATCTTTCCAGACTGAAACACTTCCACATTGCCCTTCCCTACTGTGTGCAGTGGTGTGTACCGTACCTCCATGGCGAGCGCTGCGGTCTGTTGGTCATAGTGGTTGAGGACGTTGGGCATGAAGGTGGCGTTGTAGGGCAGACCCTGGCACATCCGCAGTGTGATCGGCTCACAGGTGAAGAGGCTGTGACTTCCTGCCGCGGCGTCCATGGGAATAGCCACACAAGCTGCCAGCATTGACACGGATAGCACCCAGAGGAGACCCATGACGACTGAGGCTTGCAGTGAAATATCCCTGTTTGTTGCAGTGTGGAGAATTTATGCAGTGTCCGGTAGTTTCTTCAGCTCACACAGAAGCAGTCTGCGTTGAACTGTGGGGTTTGGAGTAGCCATGGTTCGAACAGGCAGCATCCATGGCTTTGTCAGAAAAACTCCATCACTGAGAGAGGCTGCGGATACTCCACCCTGCGGTGACAGAGAACTCAGGATCAATGAGGAGCGTCTGACAATGAACAACGCACTGTGGGGGGAGAAAAAAAACAATATATTCAAGTTGTCTGTACTGGGTTTGATGGAATATGGCTTGTTTTGATTCATATATAAATAATGATTAGTAATTAGTGTATATATAATTATAAATAGGATAAGATACACTTAATTTGATATGTGACAATAAAAATCAATGTTTTTATCAATTCGTAATCAACCTTGCTGGTTGATTATGAATCACACAAAATATGAAAAAATATAAAACGCTTCCTATTAAGCAGGTAAGGTCTCAACTGTTTTAAAGCATACAGCTTGAACATGTAATCAAAAAATGAAATGAATGAACGCTTATTACAAGACCGTGCACAGATATTATTTTAAGACTATTTGATAGTCTTGTCTTAGCATAGCATGCGGTTAAAACATTAATACTATAAACAGCTTATGTCCATTTATCTGAGTTTTCCATCACAGCAGCAGCAGCAGCAGGCTACACCCTACGAACAGCGTGTCCTTCAATGACACAGCTTTGTATTTTCATAAACACATTTACATACTGCCAGTCCACCTGCGGCTACACCATGACAATAAACCACCAAAAACAGCCAATATTTGCATGTTCTGGATCATTTGGCGTTAGCATACCTGCCCTCCCATACACATAATTATCAGGGCTCCTCCTTCACTTACCAGCAGCAGCCAATTCGATTAAATCCTCACTAAAGAAACAAGCTATTTTACCTTTACAGCGCATTTATTACGACCGGTTTTTCAATCACAAAACTCATATAAGTATTTCATGACCAGGCTGTGTGTAATATAATTTTACGGGCATTAAACAACAGATAACTGCTTGACGGAGAGCGTGGCAAATGTCGCCGAGGAAGGAGCGCTGATGCCGGGGAGAAGAGCGCGCGTGGAGTCGGTGTGGTTGAGTGGATGGATGGATCACGGAGGCGAGGTAAGGGCGGGAGCAGACTAACCAAGCACACGGGTAAGTAAAGAGAATAGAATGAGAATAGTCTTACCTGGGTGTTTTAAAGGGAATTTCACGTGTAGCATCGAGGACTGCGATGTTTGACTTGATAACAATGAGTGAATGTCCCCCAAGCCCAGTGCCTCTCCTCCGGACCCCTCCTCCATCTCCTCCCGGCTCTGCCCTGCGCCAAGCCACCGCTACTAGCAACCAGGCTTCCGGGGAATACTTTCAAATTACAAATAAACACTTGTCAATTTGCCAAGAAGATGCTTTTGCTGAGAGTTACTGGGACTCTCGAGAGCACATCATACCACCACTTACCATCTATGGTTAATACAGCCTACCATTAACACTGCATGAGAATTTTTGATGAAATACATTTTTATTTTTTTAATATGCTCATTAAATGTATTTATATAGCGTGTTTTAACAAAATATATACAGTCTATGGTTTTAACAGACCAAGGTCACCCAAAGTGCTTTACAAAGTAGATGATACAACTTTGCTCCGTCAAAATGTCTTAGCCTGTTATTGAACGACTCAACTAAAGCGATACTTACTCCAACGCAAGGAATTGTGCAATTATTAGACTTACACTGTTGAAATAAACTTAAATATAACGCAACTGCTAATGGATAGAAACCAAAGATTCAAAATATAAAACTAATTTGTGTATAGAGGATCTGTCTAAACCTATTTTTCATTGGCCCAAAACGCTGAAACATGTCTAGCCTATATTACTAAAACGTTATTTAGTTTTAGTAATGTTTATTCATTTTAATTGTATTGTTTTATTTTTATTTTTATTTTGCTTTTATTGTGAAATCACTTTACATGTATTTCCTGTTGCACGTGGATGTAACTTGACGCACTGGTCTCGCTCTTCACAGCAGGTTTTTCAGCGACGCCCAGAAGCCGCAGACGAGCCGCAGCGTTGAATGGGAAACTTGTGCGCCTGCTGAGGGAGACTTCTCTGAAATAGGCCGAAAAAAAGCTCTTCTACAGCCAAACAACAGACGGATTAGCAGCAGAAAAACCCGCCAGTCCACTGCATTCACCCAAAGAGATTAGGGGGCTATAATACCTTGAAACTTTTTATTCCAAAATGTTATAAAACTTGACTCAAATTAGATGGTAAAAAGACAAGCAAATAGTTAATACGTTTAGATTATGCCCCTAGTTATTAAAAGTAGCAGTAGCCGTCCCATGTACACATGTACCACTATGAAACATTCTTACCAAAATAAATGCATATAACTATGAAACTCCATCAAAGGTACAAATTTAACTGAGAAATGCTCAAAATAACCAACTCATTATATTATCAATCAATCAATCAATCAAGTTTATTTATAAAGCACAATTCATGCAGTGCAGCCCAAAGTGCTTCACAAGAACACAAGATCATACACATTTACAAACATTTTAAAACACATAAAACGTAATATAAAATAATAACAAAAACAATAATAATTGTTGCATAAAAATAAACATTTCAAACTGAATTTCAGAATTAAAAAGGGTATAAAAAGCTCAATATATAAAAGTCAGTCATATACACAGCTAAAAAGAACGGTTTTCAGCTTAGACTTAAATAATGCTAAAGATGAGGCCTCCCGTACATCCTCAGGAAGGCTGTTCCAGATTTTTGGGCATACACCTGAAATGCAGCCTCTCCATGCCTAGTCCTGACTCTGGGCACAATCAGGAGTCCAGTCCCTGTGCTCCTCAGAGTCCGAGTTGGTTCATACGGCACCAACATGTCACCAATGTACTTCGGTGCAAGACCATGTAGAGACTTGTACACAAGCAGAGCTGCTTTAAAATCAATTCTCTGAGCCACAGGAAGCCAGTGCAGAGACCTGAGGACTGGACTAATGTGGTCGTATTTCCTGGTTCTAGTCAGGACTCGAGCAGCTGCATTTTGGATGTACTGCAGCTGTTTTACAGCCTGTTTGGACAGACCTGTGAGCAGGCCATTGCAGTAGTCTAACCTACTGGAGACAAATGCATGGATTATACTTTAATTGTTCGTTTTGTACCTGTGTATGTTGATTGACTTAGATTTTTGCTGCTGTATCCAACTGTGCAACTGGATGGGGGTGCCTCCCTGCTTGTTGCTATGTGTTGTTATATATTTGAAAGTATTCCCCATATATATGTTATGTATTTACTTTCCAATCCAATTCTTCCCTCTGGTGGCAGTATAGATGTTTGTTTCAGCAGGAAAAAAAAGGTTCTACCTTTCCGATTCGTTTCACCATATATTTTCCTCTTAGATATTATTTCCCTGAGTAATGTGCTATTATTATAGATCCATGGTATGTGCACATCCGATGTTGTTGCTTCAGGGTCATATAAGCCCATGTGGGCTGTGCACGTTTGTGCATGACACTTGAATAAAAAAAACTCAAACTATAAGGGTAAAAATTAACACATAATATTTCTTCTTTAAAGCTTTTGTCAGTGGCACTTCACCCCCTTTGAGCCGACCGACTGATCGATGCACAAGTCTCCACAGGCCTAACCTCCTCAGAGTCCTCCCTCTGCCTGTGACAGCAGCCACCAGAGCCACCCCCTCCCGTTTCCATGACCACAGGTAAACTCCACTCTTGGACACACACTGCATGAAGAGACACAAAACCTCCAGGGAATGCACAGGGACATAGTGGATTTATTCGGTCGGCTCCGGGACGACTAATGGTGAGTTGAATGCCTCTGACATGTCTTGGATTGTCCTAGATACCGGCAAGAATACGTCTGGTAAGTTTTACGGTAGCTTCTCCAGCTGTCCTCCTATTTGTTGGTTGTATTGTATTCTTTTATGATGCATGGCCACAATTTTCGGTGGACATTTTTGGTAACAAGCTCACGTCCCAACCAGAGGCAATACATTTGATATTAAGGCTGTAAGAATTATAAATCTTTCATAACACTTTAAGCAACTGTGGTTAATGTTAAACTCACCATTCGAACAATATGCACAAGCCATTGCCAGTGAATTTCCACTTGAATGTTTTGGTTTTCTGAAGACCGAAGCTCTGGCACCGTGGCAGCTGCTGATTGGAGCATCTCCATGCTTTAAAATCACTTGCATTCTGAAAATCTTTGGTCTTGTCGTTTAACATCAACAAAACATGTCTTCTGTCTCTAACATGACCCCGCGTCATTTTCTTCACAAATAAATCTAATAGTCACAAATAATCCATTATTTAATGATCAATTACCTGTAATAGTTTTTAACTTTACATAGACACAGACACGCTGAGAAGCTTTTAAGACTCTATAATGGCTGAAGAATATTATTATAAGTATTTTTAATCAAACAATCCAATGTGTAATCTCTATGAAGATGTTCTCCAGGAGTATCACTTGTATCAAAACTATAACATACTCATATAAACATTTTGGGATGTTGAGCAGCCCCTTTTTGCTACCAAATGTTCAGAAAGTAGCTAATTTAATCCAAGCCATTTTATGTAAACATGGCTCTACATAGTTCAAACATCACACAATGTTTTCAACTTTCACTAATTTGTTCTCCAAACCCTAGTTTAAATGTACGATGACTTTGCTTATCCAAAAGAATTACGGACTCGAGCAGAGAATCCTTTTACAAAGTCTGTAAATCCTCAGATGAAAGATGAAAGCGCAGTTACATAACATCAGTAGCCCATATTTACAACGCAGTCTTCTCCAGGCCTTCAGTTCTGTCTTAAAAGAAAATATTATGAATTTATTCTGTTTAAGCAAAGTTAGACAGAAGAGATGTTTATGCTTATTAGTTATGTAAGTGTGTTTTCATCTGCAGAAAGATGCCACACGCACCAAAGACTTCCGTAAACAAGGCCAAAATGCAGACCAAGAGGAGCGCCTGGACTCCCCTGAACCACGCTCCGTCCAACAGTCAGGTACCAGTCGCTAAAAAGACAAATCTATAAACCAGATGAAAAAACAGAGAAGAGATTGCAAAGGAAAAATGATTTATGTGGAGAAAGGTTTCATCTTTCAAAGCCTTATCAGATGTTGGTTTGTGTTTTGAGAAGCTGTAAGGAACATTCTCTTCTATGTCCAATATAGTACAAGATGTTTTCATTAGAACTTGAGTTTGCATAGTTTTGAAAGTGTATTTGATTTACTTACTTACTTCCACAATCCCTAGATTTCAGTAGATCCAGCCTGAGCCTACTGTATATATATATATTCACAGTATATATATACTGTAAGATAGAATATTCTATATTTGTTGACTTTTTTTCACCCCAAAATTAAATTACTATGGATTCTTCCATGTTTGATGCATCATGTGTTGTTGTGCACTGTATTGTGAGGTTTTAGTGTGAGTTATTAAAAGAATGTCAGGGGTATTGGTCAGATAATATTTGAATGACCCTCTACTATTACATCATCGCAAAAAGAAAACATATGTAAAATAACTGTAAATGTGTTTCTCATAATGCTAATTTCAATTATTTTGTTTCAATCAAAACTATATATGTCTAATGCTTGTATAACATAACATAGTATAAGATCCCAGCCAGGAGTCCCCCACTCCCTAGTTTAAAAAGCAACGTGTTGAAAAAATATTGCATAACCATTTCCAGCCTTTAGGGACAAGAACCTGTTCAAAACTGCAAAGCTGATGATCCCAATCTATTATTAATATTAGATCAATGTTGTGGTATATAGAGAATGAAAAAAAAACAAATAAATTGTATAATTATCTTAATACCCCACAAAATACAAATACTTTAGATACAAATATGACAGTAGATACATAAATATAGGTATATACCAATAACCCTAAAAAGTTTCTCATGTTTCTTACAACTCTTGCTGTTACACCAGGGGTCTTACATCTGAGAAATGCAGCCAACAGCACACTTACCATGGATTGTGTGGGGGAAAAACTTTACTGCTTTTATGCCTTTTGTGCCACTTATAGTTTTACATCCAGTACATATTTATTGTATTCCTATTGACATCTGTATCACTTACTGTACAGCCCAGATGTTTAAGACTTCCAGGAATTATCCGTACAAATAATTAACACCTCTCTTTTCGACTTTTTCCAGCTTTTTGAAGAGAGACGGGCTCTTTTGTCCAAATGGGTGAGTGTTTTGCATAAAGCCTTATTGATTGCGCCGTGGTTTAACTAGTTCATGTGCACAGTTTTGCATGTGGACAGATGATCAGAAGAAGACCATCCTCCAGGACCTGATTCAGAGCTGTTCTTTGGACCAGCTGATAATCCTCAGCAGGAGCATCAGCAGACGGCTCCCCCTACAGGCCACAGACTTTACCTGCATGCTGCCCCGTGTCCTGAGTCTCTACATCTTCTCCTTCCTGGACCCTCGCAGTCTCTGCCGCTGCGCACAGGTCCACACTCGAATCACATGTGAAATTTACTATTACTATTACTATTGTGTGAAATATTTGACTTTAAAGCTGGGATATCTATTTTCTTTTTAAATAACTCAATGTATTTTTCCCAGCATATACAATCTTAAAATGTTAAAACAAATTTGAACAAATCAGACCAAAACATACGATCTTCATCGTAATATATTTTTTTTATCTTATGTATATATTTGTAAGAAAGAGCCCTGTGAGTTACTATTTTAGGGTTTTTGAGCTGAGAGCTGATTGGCTGAGTGAGTATTGTCCCTTATTTTTCACTTGTCTCTCTGAAAAAACTGATCAGACAATACATGTGTAAAAAAGAATGATAGACCCAAACAGTTTTGAGAGTAAAGAGTTCTATTAAATTGTGGTTCAAAGTTTGGTACCCCAGCTTTAATGCTACAAGATGAACCAGTACTGCTATTGCCACTTTTATTGTACATAATTATATCACACTTCTGTCTTCTTGCACAATCTGAGTGATTGAATCTGAGTCTATACCAAATTTCTCCATTGTGAGATAAATAAAGTGTGTCTTATCTTATGATGCTTGAGACATGAAATTACTTCTTAATTCACCTTACACCCAAACTCAATGTCTATCAAAGAGGTTCAAAGAATGAGTAATGACAAAATTTATTGACAAGTTTTTCAATACATTATTAGCTGTGGCTTCATTGTGAGCTGTATTCCTGTGAGCAGGTGAGCTGGAGGTGGAAGAGCCTGGTGGACTTGGAGCAGCTGTGGATGGTGAAGTGTGTGAGGAGAGGATGGTTTCTGGACGTCAGCCCGACTCCGTTTGAAGTGTGTGTGTGGAAGAGACACTACATCAGCACCGTGGAGAGGCTCCGGAGCGAGGCCGCACAGGTTAGCGAAATACAAATAATTGAAGCGTTTCCAAAATAAGCAGTTTCTTGCCAGAGCAGAAGAGATAATCCCACTGAGGATTTAGAAAACGTATGTATGAGGGTTCCATCTTTGGCCAGGACTCTTTTGTAAATCTTAAAACAACAGCCCTCTATATTGTAGTTACTGTATATTTATATATATATATTTTTTTTTTAAAACAACAGCTTGTTTATGATAATTATTAGAATTATCTTATCTCATCTTAAATCAGGGTCAAAAGCTCACTTTTAAACCAATATCAGTTATAACGGTAAAATATAATGGATCTATTACTAGTAAAACATAATGGTCCAAATATCTGCTTAAAGCTGGATTACCTAACTTACCTAACTTGTTTTAAATGCATAAATAGTACAGTGTGTTTGTCATGTAACTTTATATGAACGAATCATACCACAACATGCTGCCTTCATCCTAAAAACATGTTGTCTTTTGCTTATTTGTGCGCTGTGAGTCACTATCTGAGCTGATCTAAAGAGGTTACAGAGGTCAAAAGTACATGCATGTGAAAACTATTGAACTGTTTTGAGCCAGTTACATGGATTTTATTACATACAGTAGAATCAATCTTGGGTGGTACCAAAGTAAGGTACCCCAGCTTTAAAATTGTTGTGAGTTCTCAGTGAGATTCACAAACATAACTCTGTCCTCCCTCTGCAGTGGTTGTGGCTCCAGCAGCAGAGAGCAGCTGACAGTCCTCTTGGTCCTGGCTCTGGTTCTGGTCCTGGTCCTGATCCTATAGAACTGTGTTTAGAGGACGCTCTCCTCACTGACCCTGGTCCAGTGTTGCCCAAAAAGAGCACAGCGAAAAAGACAAAACATTGGAGCAGGTCGTCTCTGTCATTGCCTCCGTGGAGAGACGCGGACCGCAAACCCAAAGACATTGTGCGATTTAACTACCTGGACAACTCGCTGGGTGGGGACCAGGCCTGGACAGTGTAAGTGAAAAGAAGTGAACATTTTCACACATTTTTGTGCAAAATTATGGCACAATACATAGGTATACCTCAACTCTTGGACACCTTTTTAACCTTCAAATTCCTTCAAAATGGATATAATTATTGAGAATTTTAACAATTTCTAAAGCACATTTGAATAGTCACTTTTTGTGGCATTCTTAAATTCTAGTTCTTCCATTTACATTGAAATTGCATGATCTCAATGTAAAATGATGGCTACATTTTTTGCTGCTGGTGTTTAATATCTCACCACGAAACCTTTCATAACGAGTACATGTAAAGATCGACTCAATAAGTCGACAACACGTAATATATTGAATCCAATTTGAGTTGAGCCAATAGACTTCCTTATTGTCTAATTTTCCACTCTTGTTCTCTATCGTCCCACTGTTTCTCAACAGGAAAACCCAAAATCCATCATCCAAAACCAAAACGGGTCCTGTCCATTCTTCTGAGGCAGAACTGGTGAATAAAACTGTGACCGATGCTCATTACAAGCTGCGCAAGGCCAAATCTCTGGTAAAGCACAATAATCAATAGAATGTTTGCATGGTTTTATAAAATTATCTTAACAAATATGTTTGCTATGTATTATATCATTACTGAACAACTGATAAAAACCAACTTGGTCAGTCTCTATTTGGACTGACATCACACTGGAAGTTTTCAGCTTCTGTGTCAGCTCAAATTGCCAAAAATGTAAAACTTGCAACAAAAAAACCGTATAGGCTGACAGCTTGGGATCCAGTGAAATACTTGTATACCAATCATCGCGCTAATAAAGTTATTTTTTTAAACTGAATTTTTAAGCACATCATTTAAATTTTAATCAAAGCCGCCCTCTCCCAAAAGCGTCCTGGTCCAAAAGCATGCCATGATCAAAGCCAACTTCTCTCAGAGTAGTAAATATGGATGTGTCCTCTGTGTGAACCGTGCTCCGAAGCCTCATCATTATCAGTCTCCTGTAATTTCCACTCTCCACATCTGGAGGCTAAACAGAGCCACAGTCACCTTCAGGAAAGGCAGGATTATAGGTTTTTTTAAATTATCATTTGTCTGCAGAAATTGGCTAAGATTTTTCAAGCCAATATGTTGAAAATTAGGGCTCACGCCAGATTATAGGGAGTGAGGTTGTGGATGAATTGTCTTGCCCAAGGACGCACCTGGGCCCCCATCCCACCCCTAACCAGGCACTGCACTGCTTAGCTCTCATCAATAGATTTGACCATTTCATACAGGATTTACCGGGGGTTACTGACTTGTTTTCCATCAGTTTGTTTGCTGATGCTCGCTAATCCTTTATATTTTATTAGTTCATCTCTATCATTTTTCTTATTTATAGATAAGAACAAAAAACATTAAAAAAAACATGCAGAGTTAAGCCAAAAACCTAAATCATTTTTTTTTAAAATGCGAAAGTGGCCCCGGAGTGCACAATTTGAAAGAAGGGTTTTGAATATTTTGCATCTCCAAACAGGCCAGACTCAACCAACACTTTATTTCATTTTTAAGAATTATTTTGTGTTAAACATCGACGGCTGAACATATCTCTTCTTCTTCTTGTGCAGATGTTGCTGTCATCAAACTGCAGACCTGCCCAGCTTCCACAGTCTCCTCTGGACCAATCAGAGCCCAGGATTCACACCCCAGCATCCCTGAAGAGGCTCCTGACAGAGTCCCGGTTCAACGCGGGGGTCCGCCCTGGTCCGGTCTGCTCCACTGTCCCCCGGCTGAGTGCACAGGGGCTGCGGACCGCCCAGAGATCCCACAGAAGCATCCCCTGTGAGCCACTTCACACTTTTGCTTTTTTAAATTTACGTCGCACTTATATAGTTTTACATTTACTGTCACTTCTTGTCAAAAACATTGTTCTCTTCTTGTTTTAATACTCTCCCTCGTTTTTTCCCCAGCTGCACCATTACTGCACTACATTCAACCTTGGACTGTGAGCTCTCTGCATACATAGCAGTGGCGCCCTCCTCAGGACACCAGAGGAGCTACAGACAGACAGAAGTTCCACCCCTATGGTTCCACCTGAAGTTAATACACTAGGCATGTTTCTATAATATCTATAACATCAGTCTTACAGTTGAATATTTAATGCAATATGATGACAAGCATAATAAATGGCTGTATGTTTTCTCTTGTTGAAAGACCTTTGAATATTTGTATTTTATAGAGCTGGTGGTATCTACCTTTCAAACCTCACAAACTATGTAATAAAACAATGAAATCAACAGTGATATGTTTAAAACAGTCCCTCCCCTTTGCATGATTACCACCAGTAATATTTGCTGGAGGAGAATAGTTAGACGAATCACGAGGAGCCTCAAGGATTTGAATTATATCAGGGTGAGCGGGGGTGAGTATTGGCGGATCTAACTTGTCTTCAAAAAGTTCCATCCTCTCTTCTCAGTTTGAAATGTAACTGACATCCACTTTAATGTCTGGGAGAAATATTCAATATCGATGAAAAAGGTAGATATTTCATTGGACGATCTTCATGAACTGTGATATGGTTAGCTATATCATTATGTAGACTTTTGACAATATAATTTTATTTCAATTGGCACATCCGACTGTACCCGTCAAAAAAGACAACCTCTCGCTGTCACAAAGGACGAGACTTTAGAAAAACGTATGGACTTCTTGTAAATTACAACAGTGTGAGAAAACTTAAAGTAGCCATAGAGATCATAAGGACATGTTTTCAGTGTCATCCAGCCAACTTCAGCTCCCCCATTATAGACATGTTGTAACTATTTATGAACTAAATATTCCACTCTTTGAAAATCTGTATTGTGGGCCGAGGGGACATTGCTGATGAACTTGGCCAGGGGTGTCCAAACTTTTCAGTTTGAGGGCCTCTCTAACTGAAAAGTTTGGACACCCCTGGCCTAGATTTACAGTATGTGAAACGATTACTATTATGTGTTAATGTATTTGACTTGTTTGGATTGCATACACGAGACTGAATGTGATGCGGTCCTAAAAAACACATGTTATATTTTTGCAGTCTCACAAGAATAGTTTTAAAGAGTTTTGTAATATAGAAAATTATGAATGAAAATAAAGTGGTTTGAATACAAAATGGTCTTTATTCGGGATTCCACACGTTCAGTTGGATTCAAAGCCTTTTACAAAAACAGTTCATCAGAGAAAATGTAACTACCAAACATTACCATGGATCCACTCTCACTGCTCCGATTCTCAAATATACACACAACGCTTTTCGAAAACAAAACACATTTTTACGGAATATGTAAATGACAAGATGAAATTAAAAATGAGGAGGAATATAATTAATAATGGTGAAAATGCGAATGTACAAATGGCTTTAACAGAACTACAAAATATAAATACTTTTCACAGGGTTCAGGAAAACAAATTGGGGAGATCAATATGTGTTGAAGCATAATTTAATGAGCTGAAAATGAAATTGAATACTTCGTATTTGGGTTGAAGCTGCAAATACAGTTAACACATGGAGAATGGGTATCATACATTTTTCAACTCTTCTCTATTAATAAATGGATTGGTGTTGGACTTGTAAACAGTGGACTTCACCAGTAGTAATCTGGTGAGTTTCGGAAAAATTCTTCGAACAAACTTTACAAAAAGAGTTGGGACCATCAGCTCAGCATTGCAAATTCTGAACATGTCGTGTATTGAATGAAATTGAATCGAACATTTTGATAGATACATTATTAGCACTTTATTGTTCCCTACAGGGACAATAAAGTGCACATTTACATTTATTGTATATGAGAATAAGATTTGCCAATGAAACAAGCATTTAGTTCCACAATTTATATAACATAAAAAACAAACCTTAAATAAATTAAAGTTGATTAGACCTATTCACTTTAATCCAGGTGAATACTGATTTTTTTCTTTCTTTTAACACTTTTTGTAGAGTGAAAATTTGCAACCTGTCCAATAGTGATTCCGATTGGATTACAATTAATGAAGCAGCTTTACCCATTTTTGTATGTTCTACTAAATGAGGATAAAGTATTTCTCTTTGAGTGCTGCTGTTGTTATTCTTATTCGCTGCAACACGTAACTTTTCTCCATCAGTTGTGTGGGAACATCATAACAAAGTATAAAAACTCCAGATCCTCACTGTTAAAAAGTAATTTATTTCAGAATATTTTTGGTTGTTTTTTTTAGGAAAAACATTTGATAGAAAACTGGACAGGTTTAGAAAGCTACTTAAAACATAACACAACCAACCAGAGCACAGAACGATTAAATAAAACTGTATGAGGAAATAAAGAAGACACATCATTCACCTCTTCATTTGAAACATGTGTTCACAGTGGAGGGGGCGGAGCTCGACGTCAAAAGCCAGAAACTAAAAACTTTAAATGGTCTTTATCGAGCTTATATTAGTTTCTATGCAATAATGTGGATATAAAAATTGAGTAAACGTCTAAAAGGCAGAAGTATTTCAAGGGTGATTAAAGTTGTATTATTGAGTACACCAGCAGATGTCAACAAAGGACTATGAAGGATAACCACTCAGCTAAATTGTGCCTTCAAGCTTTCAAACCACACACATTACAACTTCCTCCCTCTCAAAACAGTTTGGGACCATTTAGTTTTCACGTGCATGTATTTTGGCCTCTGTCACATCAGCATTTTCAAACACAAAAGTGGAAAAAAAAACAGTCAAATAAGTGAATGGTGACAAGTTTTGTATGAAGACAAAGACAGCATGCTTCAATTAGCAGCATGATTTGTTGAAAAACCTTTGGATTCACTTTTCTGTCTGGAAAAAAAAAAACCTGATCTATAAATGAGACAAAGGCCAAAATATAAAAGCTAGAAACTACAGCAGTTGGATGGATTTGCTTTCAAAGTGATTTTTTGTGGTTTAGGTACGCCAGCTTTGAAAAGTTGTAAATAATGTAAATTTGATAATAGAAATTCTCAAATATTGGTACTCTGAATGCTCCAAATCTCAAACTGAATACTTGAAGGATTCATCAGACAGAAGGGGTGGAGCCAGAAGTTCCAAATATTAGCATAGTGTGTTTTTGATTAAATAACATTGTAACAGGATTTTGCATAAAGTAATACATTTAATAGACTAATAATAATTTGTTTTGAAGCAACAAGAGGTGTGTTTTTAGTTATGAGAGTCGAGGAGGTGTACCCAATAATACGCCTTGTAAGCTTATGAGACTTTAACATTTTACTGGTGGCATAAGGCGGTCTGGTGTCCAATATTTCTGCTTGGAGAGTAAAAGGCCGTTGAGGTTTGAACAGTCCAAAGAGATTGAAGAAGTTGGAGGGAATGACTGATCCACACGTAATTATTATAATTAACATCTTTAAATAATGTAAACATATACATCATACTGAGGTCTCACAGATCCTCCTCAAATCCATTTACAGACAGAAAAAGAAAGCAGGACACTATTGGAGCATGGCCCGGATGTTTTTGGGAGTGGACTCGTCGTTCAGGTGTTTCGTGGTGAATCTGAGGAGAGACAAATGTGTAATTAGGAGACGTTATGACCAATATGTTATACCTTGTTGTTCTCTGCTTTTGACCCATCCTGTAATGCCACTCGGGCGTCTGTCAGGAGCAGTGGCGGTCATAGAACAGCGCCCCTGGATGTCGTTGCTAGACTTGGGCAAGACCAGAGCAGAAGGAATTGCCGATTATACATGTTCTTTTTTTAGTGGCTGGGAAAACAGGAGCACCCGGAGGACGCCAAAGCAGACACGGAGACAACATGCAAACTCCACTCAATCCTGTTCCGACCAAGATTCAAACTCAGCGCCTTCTTGCCGAGTTGTGATACAGTTTGTATGTCTCACTTGTACCATGTATTTCTGAGATTATGAATTATGAAACACTCATTGTTGCCTGTGGAGTTGAAATATCTATCCATCCAATAAACATGCAACGTACTTGAGGGCATTGAGGAGGCCTTCTACGTTGTCTATGGGCTGCTCCTTCAGGACTTTTATACAGCCTTTCATCTGCACAGAAGGGAGAATTATTACAAACACGGCAAACAGGACATTCATTATTAACATGGCGTGTGTAGGGATGTCAGGATTAAGAAACAACATACAAAAAAAAGTATTCTAAGTCTTATGCATTCACAACTTTAGTACAGTAAGCTTCGATCACATTCACTTCATCAATGTCAATGAGCGATGTCATAGTCACATACACAAATACGTATACTAAGCACTATGTATTTTGTCTACATTCAAGTTTATTTTGGCTCTTAAGATAAATTCGAAGTAGAATTAAGGTTGGGGACAATTGTTGTGTTTCTACTGTCCAGAATAAAGTTTCGATCATTTATACATTATAAACACACTGTATTAATGAGGCTGAACGTCCCAGTAATCGTCTACAGTTCTCTCCCAGAATGCACCAGCCAAAAAAACACAATACAATCAGACACAATCATTTTCCCCAAATGAGAATACTAAACCTTAAACAGTAACCCACCCTAAATGAAACAAGAAGGTTTGTGTAATTTCAATCCCATTAACATCTGATTTTATAGTATTTACTACGTAAAAACTGATCACATTAAGTAGTATTCATCCAATACCTTTTCAAACCATGTACAGGTATTTGTGTTTGGTATTATCATTATTATTATTATTCTCTGAATATTTGTATGCATGTTTTTGTTTGTTGCGGATGTTTGAAATACGTAAACAAAACAAAAAAGTAAATGCGTAAATGTAGTAAGTATAAGGTATAAGTGGTAATTTTTTTTGTTGGCCTTACAAACCAGATTTTTTTTTATTTATTTCAAAAGGAGCAAGACTTTTTCCCCTCATTCTTTTGTGAGAATAATTTATAAACAATGGAAATAAATCCAATGTAAAAAGATATTTGTGTCAATAATCAAATATAAACAATTCTCACAATAAGTCTAAAATGATAAAAAAAAAAAACCTTACGTCGATCTTGGAGAGCTTGTTGAAGGCTCCGTTGGGATGGACGTGGTCGTAGAGGATGATGACTCCCACCATGACCCTCATACAGAACAGGAGCGTGTCTTCACTGCTGAACCGCGACGAGTATTCGCTGCAAACAGAGACGACAAACGCTGATGCAAAACCCACAGAATAGAACGCCTCGAGGATTATACTTTCATTATACTTTCATTTCAGGAGCGCGTTTTTTTGAAATACTGTGAAATGTGGAGTTTACTCACGGCGTCTCCAGCATGACTTTACACACACTGGCCATCGTGCTGAGACAGTCCGTCGTGTTCTCCAGAGGAAGAGTCTTGTTCTAGAAAACAAAAAAAGAATTGTTCAAGCAAAATGTAAACGACACTTGGGGACCAATTTAAACCTGAGTGATTTTTATTCTGCATTTATCATTATAGATGTAGCTATAGTCAATGCCAAATTCGGTCTGTGAAATACTAATTTTTATTTTTATGTTCTTAATAATTGAAAACTAAATAAAAAATGATTGTGAAGAGAACATATAAGCTAGATATTTGTGTAGACTAAAATGCAATGTCTGTGTCAAATCGTCTCAAACCAGTTGAGACGAGATCCAAGTGCCATAAAAATATATCCTAGACAAGACACTTCATCCACTTTGCATAGAATATGAATGCTTGGTGGTGGTCAGAGGAGTCGATGGCCTTTTATCACCACCGCGTGTGGAGTGAATGAATAATAATCATGTTACGCAGCTTTAAATGTGCGGTATATAAAAACAAATGCACAAAAAACCCTGCGAAAATACGATGCATTCAAATCGCAGAGCTCCAAACCAGACCATAAACAAACTCACTGCTCAATAACACATGTGGATGTTATGTCATCCAGTCAAATCCAGTGCTGGTCGTCTAAAACCACTTACAGATTTCGGTTTGGTGCAAAAACTAAATAGAAATGTATTGTCAAATGTAACAACTTGACCACCACACCACCTGATTTTCATTATTTATTTTTGTGTGTGCTGCTATTGGACAACTGAATTCCCCCTACAGGGATCAACAAAGCATCGATCTATCTATATGTGTTAAAAAATACCTCCTTCCTTTAATGTGTGAAAATAAGATAGCACAGAGTTGCATCACAAAGTTCAAGGACAGTAGGATTATTTGGAGCAGTTTCAAAGGATTATTAGTAAATTCATGCGTACAATCCACCATGCATATGCAGCAAATCCTTTTAATGAATGAAAAAAAAATAGAACTCAAAACTAGTCCGACCGCGCTCACCACTGTGACGAAGTTGGTGGTGGCGTTGCTGAGTGTTTTGAGCATGGGCGTGGCCTCGGCGTAGAACAGAGACATCCGATTGGCCATCTCATTGTTCACTTCATTTTCAATGTCCAGCTGTCAACAGGAAAACCACACACTTTAACCAGAACAGGGATATTACATTTCATGAAAAGCAAAGACTGAAAGAAAATATTTACTGGGAGCTCCACATGGAAAGAATTTTAAACAGAAAGATATCTTTAGAACATTTGGATAGGTAAAAATTGTGGTGGAGACAGTTCAATAAGCCTTCTTGGTAACTATGGTAATTGTTGAAAGTCAGAGGTCTATTTTATCATAAAAAGTTATCTAAAAGTAGTGACAATATTGAAACGATATTAAGAATAAAATGTATGAATAATTTGTAAGAATAATATGGAGTTTAATGAATCTAATCATCAAATAATGATCAAAGGAAAACATTTGGACTTCTTTTGTCTTCCAAAATAAAAAAAAATTGCCTGAGGAATCATGCAAAAAAAAGTCATTGATGATGTCAAAATAGATAAGCATTTATAGTTTTTATTTGTTACAATGCCCTGGATCTTACATTCATGTTATTTATCCTGTTTCGACTGATTGTTCTTCTGTAATAACTGAAGTCGTTCTGGATGGCGGGAATTCTCATCTGAAAAAACAACAACACTTAGATATTAGAAAGTGTAAAATAGACAGTTATTGGGTGCAGTCACTGTTTTGTTGGTGACCCATAGGAGGCAGTAAAACAAAGGAAGGACTTCATGGGCTGTGTTTGCACAAAATAATAACCTAATAAAAAAAAACATAACTACATACTATAACTAACCATATATTAAGAAAAGCACAGACTCGGTGAGCACTTCCCTTTTGGGTTTCATGGAGAAAGGGGGTTAGCATTGTCTATATAAAGTCTATCACATGATCACACCAAGATCAAGAGGTCCCTCAGACAAAAAGCAAGCAACAATAATAATACCAACTGCATTTTTCCCTTGTGGCATTAATGATAGAGCGGTGAAAATGGGAAAAGTAGAGATTGCGTTTTTACTTTGAGTTCATCGAATCTGAGCGTAAAGTGGAGGATCTCTGCGAACTGTTTGGCCAGAGCCTGCTCCTTCTCCAGGTGCTGTGTGGGCGTGTAGGGCGGACACGTGAGGCAGGTCAGCAGGCTGTACAGTGCCTTCTCTGTGAATACACACACAGACGCACGCAAGTTCATACGCTTCATTCAGGTTCAGGAATCACAGCAGCTGTTGCAATTATGATGGATGGAAACATTTCAAAGCCATATTCTCATGTTCTCATATAGTGGATATTTTTTCTACAGCAGCGACTTCAAAAGAGTATCAAAAGTTGTTATCTGGATCAAGACTTCACTGTAGTGATATGATGTTGACTTAAAGGGACCGTATATGTAGTTTGCACTCTTACTAGGTTACCGTAATAAAGTAATTTGGAATGTTCCAGATCGAAGCAACATGTTTACCGTCTGTGTGAGTGAAGGTAACAGGCTGCTCAAAACAGACTTTAGAAATCTCGTGGGTAGTACATCCAGGCTGCATGTGGAGGAGCTCAGACAGGAGTTATCTCTTGGACAGTTTTATCATCTACAGGTGCAAAGTCAGTTGGCTCAAAAAGCCTCGCTGGCTGTTGGATTGTGGTTTGTACTGTGACGTTTTTGATAGCTAAACTTAAAGACAACAAATCAAACTCGAATCATTATAGCATTATAGATGTTTGCAGATCTTACCCAGTCGTAAGGAGAAACAGTAGAAGGTCTTGAGTTTGATGACGAGCGGACACACAGAGTTCCAGGCCCGCTCCTGGTGCATGAGGTCGCTGGGGTTTTGAATGGCCTGCAAATAACATACACAGTATTTGTATATATTTGTCCTTATACAGATGAACAACAGAGTTACTTGGATCAGATTGTATAATTGTATGCACTGTTATGGTTCCACTAGTGTCACAGATGTGTTCTCAAAGCATGAACGCTGCATATAGTGAAGCAGAGGCCTTTTTCACATAGGACAGTTTAGCACTAGCGCCGGATATGTGGATTCAGAACTTTTATGTGTCTGTTCCAAAATTAAAACAGTTTTTTCTCTTCAATACACATGTTGTGAGAGTTTGAAGATAGCAATATTATGTTAAGAATGTTGCAATGCATGTCTTTAAAACTTATCAGTCATATGTAAAATGTCCTACAAAAGTGCTAAAAAATGTTCAACCTTTCAATCAATATGTTTGATATGTTTGCAGTAGTGCTTCGTACATCTCTTATCTCCTGTCCAGCTCCTTTGTAAGACTGCAGGCCGGACAGGATGCTCTCGGACTCCTGCAGCACAGAGTCCACCTGGTCCCATACGTCCCGCTCTGCTCCTGTGGGCTGGGCATCTGACGGGGAACACACACATTAGCACACAGAACTACACATGTAGTTTAACAAACAGACAATTTTCATCATTCAGTCATTATCAGAGTTGTACATCTGAGTTTACATACCCTGGAGCTATTCATGCTTTTAGAGCCATAGTTCAGTGAAGCGTATTCGTATTGGCCTCAGAGAGGAGATGGCAGTTTACAGATTAAAAAAACAAATATATTCAAAAATTCTGGTAGAGCCTGTTTCTATGTGTTCAGATTTGAATGGCTATTAAAGAAAACCATGCTTTCATAAACTAACTAAATAACCCAACCACAAATCATGAATGGGAAAAGTAAAAATGTCTTTCTGAAAAATGGCTTGAAAATCATAAACGCTTTTAGGATATGTAAACTGCTGCCATAAACAATACCAAGAAAAAACTTTATCATTCAGTCTTTTGAATAGTGTTCAGATAGTCGTCAAATCAAGCAAGATCTTTGGGTTACATACAGTATGATTAGCTTAATCCTCAAAGTAAAAACCGGGGATTGAGGTGTTAAAGAGGCAAATAGAGATTTTCTGAGTCACTCATTGTAGTGAGAACAGCTGAAATGCCATTCTGGGGGCTGTGTTTTTAAACCAACAGAAAGAAACGAGATTCAACACAAGCCTCCCAATTTCAGAATGACATGAACAACTGCCTCAGCTCGCAGGGGTCAGCAGAAAATATTTAAAACGTATCTGTCACTCTGCATCAATCATTAGAAAAAACATGTTACTTTATATTAGACGTGTAGACACAGAAGCAGCTTGGTTTACAAATACAAAGGTCATGCAAGAGGCAGCGGTCAAAGGGTCAGCTCAATTTTTCATCAAAGTGACAATGGCCGATATTGAGTTACTATAAATCAATCACACACTATAATAGCAGCTTTCATAGCAGCCAATAGCAATTCAACAGAAGAAGAATCAGTTGAATGACTTGAACCCTTGACCAGCCGCAAAGAAATGAAAGAAAAGAGGGAAAAGAAGGCTGCGTTCATGAGCTATAATCTGAATGTATGTATAGGGTAGGCACAAAGGAAAAGGAAAAAAGATATACAATGTACCAAATTCACAATCTATCACATCTATAATTGAAGGTTGTCAATATGCTTTTTTGTAATAATGTGTACCTACCATTATTTATGTATTCAGAAATCGGGAGACATTGCAATGCGTAACCAATTACAACCATTGCAGTTTAATTACTACAACTCTCAATCCTCTAAGTGTTATGAAGGCATACAAGAGGTGTACAGTGAAAAAAAGCCTTTTTCAGACAATAATTAAAAAACATACACTTCAGTCTTTCAGGTACTGTGTGGTCTTATTTTATTAAAATGTTCAGCAAGTATTTATATAGTTTCTGTGATTTTGATTTTTTTTAGTATTGGCACTTGTAATTTAGAATGTAAAACTACTACTTTTTAACCATATGCAGAGTTGGTACTTATATGAAAGGAATGGGTGCCTTTTCACAAATGTCATGAACACAGCTCATGTTAAACTAACGACGTTTCACACTGGGGTCACAAATGAATCAGATTTCATTTTCAGTGAACCAATTAGGACAAAGATATTTTATTTATGTGAAACAACCAAAATTGACTACTGGAAGATAATGCCGGTACAGTAGTTTGGTTAATTGGTGAAATTCCCGCCCTAATTTTCTCACTTAAAGTGAACTCTGATTCACTTGGGACTGTGTGAATACGCTCTCAAAAGCAGGAGGCAGTGCTCACGTTCAAAGTCAAGGAAAAAGTTTGGCCCCTGATCGAGCTCGGTGCAAGTGAGCACTTTTAACAGGTTCCCCATTTGGACTCTGAAAAAAAGGAGAGACAAAGAAAAGAAGAGGGAAGGTGTTAAAAAGTCATCACAGAAAGACAGAATAGAACCCAGTTAAACAAAAAGAGCCAAAGAAAGACTTATTCACAGCCGAAAGAAGAAAACGAGGTGAGCGGCGGACATCGTTGATCTTTACTTTGCTAAACTTACTTTCAAAGTCCAGGAAAAAGTGTGGATAGTTCTCTATATCTCTTGTTAGGACTTTAAGCAGGTTACCCATTCCAGCAAACCTAATGAGGAATACACTGGTCACACACAAATACACAGCAGACCGTTAAAAAGCATTTGATCTATACCAGCAACGCTAAAATGGATTTAAATTAATTCAGATGTTGCCTCCCCTAGAAAGTGTAGTAAATCAGAACATGGCAACATATCCAATTAGAACATTTTGCAAGCTCATGTGTTGACTTAGCTTTACAATGTGTTAAACACTTTTCTTTGCAGAAAATATTAGAAAATATTAAATTAAGTGATAGTGTGGTCATATATAGATTATGTAGATAATTGTACCTACATCTCTACCATAGTCTTACTGACAAATGTGAAAGTTTTGGTCTTGCGATGAACCATGTCTGGCTGTTTCTAGTAACTACAGTAATTGACAAACTGTAATACTAGTTTGAACATAGTAGCTCCACTCATGGTGAAAATTCCCTGCTACAGCACTTCAAAGTGAGCAATATGGCCGCCTGCTCCTTCGCAGTTGTTTCTTCTCGTTTTGATTCCAGCAACACAAAGCGCCTCTGTCCTCTGCGTGCACATGATCCTCACACACATTATGCACTGCCTCCAGTCAGAGACCACGGCCCATTTCCAACAGCTTCAGAACCCAGCCGTGCGTTTCCATGTAGGAGGATACAGTCCACTGTCTGCCTGGTCTAACCACTAGGGGGAGCTGCTGAACTGGTTTCCTTTGACAGAACCCGTGTATATATTGTTTTCAAAGGTTTTATTGTATTTTATCTATTCAGGTTGTACTTAACATGCTAATCTTGAAAATAATGTAAACATATTACAAAAAAAACAAAAAAAACAATCACAACACATCACAACATGAGGAATAAAAGACAGTGGTAATAATCAATTATTCTTCTAAAGGATTCTAAGAAATTTATGCTTGACGAAAACAAGGCACAAGTGATTCTCCTGGAGAAAATTAACAGAGATGACTTTGGGTGGTTTGACTCAAAATACAACGCATTTTCATTATAGAATTATCAGAGTCAAAAAAGATCTACTCAGTTTTTGTCTATGTAAGGTTCAACATAGATGAATAGATTAATAAATTAGTTGATAATAAACTTGTTACCGCCCTAAACTTTTTAGTGGATAAGTGGCAGCTTCATTTTACAATCAAACATAATAGAACACATATGTAGTAGTTGAACATACTGGAGCAATTATTGCCAATTATACTTGACAGTTAACTAATAAATAATTGATCAATTATTATACAGTAACACTGTATAATACATTTCAGGCAACTCATATCAACATTTCAAGCCATTTTCACTGGGTTCCATAGGATTTTCATTCTTTTATTCAACGTAAAACACAAGCAAATGACAGGGAGGCCTGATTCTTAATCGAACTGGTGACACTCGAGATCTCCTGTTGTCAAGGTGCTAAAGATTTTTTAACACGTTTTGAGTCATTTTAAAAACACAAGGTAAATCTTCCACATCCGGCAACACTATGGCTACAGTCACACTAACATGATTCACATTCTAACCAAGCGACAGTGATAAGTTTCAGTTACAATGTCCAATAGATCAGCCCTCCTCGCCTCAGCCCCTCTAATCTTTATTTTATATACCGTCTTTCACGGACCAGAGTCACAAAGCGGTTTACAATCGTGGGCATTTTTCTCTCACTCCACACAGAGATGGGAGCGGGGTCGCCAGTACAGGAGGCACATGCCAGACCTATTGTACATGTTTTTAGTGGTAGGGCAAACCGGAGCAACCGGAGGAAACCGGAGCAGACAAGGGGAAAAAATTGCAAACTCCACTCAGAAAGATCCTGTTCCGACCGGGATTCGTACCCAGAGCCTTCTTGTTGAGAAGCGACAGTGCTCTCCACTCTGCCACCGTGCCGCTCAAATGTATCTAAAACATTTACAGGTTTTTTCAATAATGTATTATAAAATTCACATTAATATCGTTTCTTGTTCTGGTGACTATATTATGACTCTAATTAACTGCACACTCATTACATCCCACCCCAAATCCTGAAGACAAGCCCAGTGCTGCAGTGATGGCCACCCATTGACTCAACATAAGCCCTGCTCTTGCCTCTCACGCTGATGTAATCGTGTTGGGCTCGTGCTCTTAGAATAGTGTCGCAAACAAAAGTACCGCTGCCACATGTGACCGCGGCTCTGGCTCATCGTAAATCTCACAAACACCAGACGTCTGCTTCGCCCAATACAGGCCAGAGAATCGTGACAAAAATATATGAACTATGGACTTCCTCTTTCACCTTTGCTTCTTTAGACAGTGTCGTGAGAGTCCCCTTTACTTTTACTTTTGATTTAGAGGGAGACTTTCAACTCGTGAGACCTTAGGAAAGTACAAGAGTTCTTTTGATGAGTGGAATTAATTGTGCAACTGAGCTAAACGATAATTACATCTATATAAGGCTGGACAACTAGACTTGGTTTTCAGAATTTTGGGAACATTAAAAAAGGTTCCAACAGGGAAACACCTAGAAATAAATCAAGCTGGGGTACCGAACTTTGTTTCATAAATACATTTTGTTTATCTCGGTCATGCTGTCTTTATCTTTTTGGAAAACGTTTAAATGCTGAGATCTGATTGGCTGTGTGAGGGAGTTCTTTTTTCACTAAAAAAAGGTCATCTTAAGATCTGACGAAGGCCAAAAATACATGCATCTAATCTAGTGATAGAACCAAACGGCTTTGAGAGTGAAAAACGAGTTACAGATTTTATTATCATGTTATCTATTATGGTTTCAAAGTTAGGTACTTTAATAGTGATAGTCCTTTAATGTGACTTGTTGCACTGTTATCCCGTCCTTATCCAACACATGAACCCCCAGTGTGATAGAGCCTATCCAAGAGCGATCCACTCTTTTGTAATAGTTTATCCTGTTATTTGTTTAACACTACTACTGCTGCTGCTGCTGCCCTTTGTTGTCTTTGCCAGAACAAGTGAGCGAGAGGGAAAGTTTCCTGCTCCGACACGAGCACAGACAGATTGTGTGTAAATGGCCTCAGCCGCAAAGATGTTCACTACGACAAGACCCGGCACGCTGCAGAGGACGCCACGTACCTTCAGAGGACAAACTGGAGCTGCTCTTTAGATCATTCGCTTGGTCTCTGCAAGAAACAAACACAAAGCAGATCAGTAAAGCAAGAACTCACCTCTAAAAGCTTTATTACTGATAAACGTTTGTTTAAGATTAGTGCCACTCACATGCCATTTACATTCACCAATTCATTAAAACAAAAATAGAGTGCAGAGACATCATTGTGTTGTAATTCTGCAATCCGAGGTCTCACACAGAGAGCGCATACCCGACCAACACCATGGACATCCTCTCCTCTCTCACACACACACACATACACACACAATTGCCATACCCCCACCCCAACATCCAAGGTAATCACATCAGTTGAGATGACAAAAGTCGAAACAAAAATTGAAATTCAACAAAAGTAAATTATCTGCAATCCAACTTTGTTATGGGGTCTGGAAAGAAAGAACATAAATACATCACAAAAAACCACATGATCACAGATAACAATAACAACAACAACAACAACAACAAAACAACATAATGACACACGTTTGATTTATTTGAGAATTGTGCTATCAATATAGTTTTATCAATATATGGCAAGTAATTTATATCGACAAGACTAGACCAGAGTTGTAAGCCCAGTTTGGCCCTACACAGAATATAAGCCCATGTCATATGCAGCCTATTGTCCCAAACAGCAAGTCTAGTGTCCCTATGGGGCCACCATCCGCCCCTCACATCACCCCGCCCCTGTCTGACATTCAGCCTGAGGGACAGACGAGCGACTGCGGCAGATGGACACTTTGTACAACTGTACGGCCCCCAGGCTAAAGTGGTGATTACGTCTGTGCTGGTACTTTTGACAATAAAATGAGAGTATTTCAATCTCAGGGGTCTCTCACGATTCGATACACTGCTCATGATACGATGCCATCAGGATTTTATGAAGCGTCACAATTTGCCACATGTTTTGTTGCAGCGCTTAATCTCGCCCCAAAAGCGGAGGAGTGTCTGGTTGTAATCGGAAAAATAATGATATGCCCATTCAATCAATTAGTAAAAAAGGGGTGTGATAAAATCTCTGGAGACAAAAACACTGAAGGTATTAAATTGCATAAATGATATTAATAAAGAGAGGTTGTGAATAGAGTGCCTGACTTGAACACAAAAGGAAACACCCAACGTAGGAATTGTTCCATGGAAATGCTTGTAATTTGTCGACCAAGACTGACAGCCAGGTGTGATTGTCCACTTGCTCATTTCTTCTTTGCAGCATTAAGTACTTGATATTTACAGTAATTCTTGGAAAGCAAGTATTTTAAGAAGTACAGTGTGACCACTTTACCGCCCTCACCTTACTGCACTGCTTAATATATAATGTGTGCACTTGCATATAGTAATAAATTGTAATAATGTTACTTTTTAACTTTTTTTTATTTTAGAAAATGTTATACTTTAGAAATGTTTCATTATGCCTTATTCCTTCTCTACTCTTGACCTGTTTGCACCGAGAGCCAAAGCAATTTCCTAGTCTATGACTTCCTGTTACTTAAATGGCAATAAAAAGGATTCAGATTCTGATAAGTAATAAGTAAATATAATTTTTAAGAAACGAATGGCAAACATATTGTGACTGGCCAATATTAGGAGGGTAAGAATGATAGAACACCATTCTAAACTTGACCGTACCGTGCCTTTTCTAA